ACTGACCTTTTTTTTAATTCAACTAATTTAGTGGATAAAAACTGTTGTTTTAATGGGAAGATGTTTTCCTTTTTTTCCCTATGAAGTTACTCTATTTCTTTGGGCATACTCACTTATAGGGTTGTGGGACCAACGCATCAGAGATTATGATCCATACTGACATGCTGGCATGACCTGCTAGCTGCACACCATGATCTACCACATTTGTATAGCGCTGAGATCTGGTGATTGTGGAGAATGTTTGGGTAAAGTGAGCTTGCTGATATGTTCAACAACCCCCCCAGAATTATTTGAGCTTAATGACAGTTAAATTTCCTCTTGGAATTAGCTATCCGAATATTGGTAAACTATGTTCTTATAGAGATGGACATGATCAATAGTCAGAACTGATGTCAGTCTGGTTATAAAATGGTCAACGTGTACCAAGAATATACACCAAACATCATCACCTAAACATTGGGCCTACTGTAAGTCTTTACAAGCAGGAAGTCCACACAGTTCATTAGGGATTTTGGCATACCAGTACTAATTTGGTACTGAGGTACTACGGCATTTAAAACCATATTATACTGCATTTTGCTGGGAGCGGTATTTGTACCTGCAGAAGCTCAGAAAGGACGAGGGGCAAGTTAAAGAGAGTTGTTGGGAGAGAGAGCGAGAGAGACACTGCTGTCGCCAAATTGTCGCTAGATTTAGAGTTTTTCCCCTATAGTGACTTTTTTTTAAAAGCATTTTGTAACTTTCCTCTGTGTTGTTTATTTTTGGGTGTCAACACGTCAAAGCATCGATATGTCAGTTTACTGTTCTTAGCGAGCAGTCAGTGCTGCTGTGCGCCATTCAGGGCCCTGTGTGCAGCTGTGTGCAGTTTGCTTGCTGAGAGAAGAGAAGCCGTTTCACTGCATGTCTCCATATGCAAATCCATGGATTTGCAGGATGTCAAAATATTTTTTTCTTTCTTTTACTGAAACGTTGTTGCACTAAAATAAGTCTTTGGTTGAATAGAAAGAGCAGTCTTTCCTCGATGTTAAATTGCTCTCCTGGGTTTGCAGTTGAAGCTAAAAATGGTGGAGCAGGAGTTTTCTATTGAAAATCCAAACAAGAGAACATTTTTCCTGTATATTTTTTGCTTGTTTTTTTTTTTTTTTATTCTATTCATGGGTTTTCCTGTTAAATTACAAATAGAATTTAAAAATCCCCTTTTCAGATATAAACCCATTCATTATTTAGCTCCATCATAAAAGAGACTTATGATGTCAATCAGTTTCTTTTTCTAACAGAGCTCCTTCCTCCCAAATTGATCTTCACTGGATTTCACAGAATCATTAGTTTACATATCCTCCCATTAAACAAATTGACAAATTCATCCTGGCAAAAAATAAGAAGAAATGAATGCAGATATTTTAGTTGTAAAGCTTCACTTCTGGGTAATCAGCTTCCAGTTTTAGTGTTGAAAACATTCTGTCTATTTTTAGGCCTAGGTTTAGAGCCTTCCTTTTTGATAAAGTTTATAGTTAGAGTAGCTGAGGTTACCCTGACTTATCTCTATAGTAAAGCAGCTTTAGACTTGGCTGTTGAAGGACATACGGTAATAGCTTCTATTCCTCACACTTCTACATTCTCCTACCCCTCTCCAATCTAGCATTATTTTCTGCTTTTTCATTTTTTGTTCTCTCTGTTTTTCATATCAAAGAAAAAAAACATCTGGATTGGTATTTAGCTATGACACAATATTGGAGGGGACGGAAGCTACTGATACCAAAAACGAAATGTTGTCCTTCCGTAGATGATACTGTTTGGCATTGTCTTGTAGTGTTTAGCCATGTTTCTTATTTTGCCAAGGCCATTGAGTAAGCTATGTACAACTTTGACTAACCATATAGTATGTGTATATTTTTATTAAAGGAGTGTTTTGCTTTCCACTTTCTCTAAATGTATGCTTAAGCCTGGTTTATGCTCAGAAACCAGGCCATCTGCGTATGTCGAAATATACGCAGATATGCTCGCTCCACCCCACCCCTTCTGCAGACACTCTAGAGCACCTCCCCAAATTTGTAGGTGACCACAGACAGTGAATAGAGAGAAAGGAGGCCACTGATTGGCCAATTCTACATCTACTCTACACTATGCGTATTTCCTGTTTGGTACCTAATGGCAGAAACTCTGGCTGTAATGCGGTCCACAATGCCTGGCACACCTCAGACACTATTCCAGACACCATACAGCTTTGTAGCTTTGTGAGACTGTCTGTCGGTGTGCACCCAAAGCCAAAACACACAGCGCCACGGCAAGCCTTTCAGGAACACTCACGGGTGAACTGTGTGTCGTCCGGCGTTGGATGAGGGGTTGTAGACTGCGAACAAGCTCGTCAAACCGACACACAAACACCCACAATCCTAGCTAGTTCGTGATTGGTCCTGGAATTGGTCGTGGAATAACATCGCAGACCATGCTTCAGAATTGGGCGTAAATCAGAAATATCTGTATACACAGATAGTTTACACAGTCCTTTAGTATGATGGCTTGCTACAAGGTCAACCAAAGAATAAAATTGACAGTCCACTGCTACATGATCAACCAGTAAGAATGAACGCCATTCGTCGTCACTCAAGGTCTCCCCCTTCCCCCAGGGATGGGTCACGGGGCAAGCAGTCTCAGTAGATACTCCAAGACTTCCCTCTCTGGAGATCCCTTCTCCAGCTCTATTGGGGGAACTTAAGGCAGTCCCAGGCCAGTCGAGAGACATAGTCCCTCCAGCGCGTCCTGGGTCGTTCCCTAGGTCTCCTCGCAGTGCCTGAGACACCTCACCAGGGAGGCGTCCAGGGGGCATCTGAAAAAGATGTCCAAGGCACCTCAGCTGACTACTTTCGAGGTGGAGGAGAAGCGGCTCTACTCCGAGCCTCTCTCGAATGACCGAGCTCCTTACCCAATCCCCAGGGGAGTGCACAGTCACCCTGCGGAGAAAGCTCATTTAAGCCACTTGTATCCAGGATCTTGTTCTTTTGGTCATGATCCAGATTTCATGACCGTAGGTAAAAGTAGGAACATAGACCGATATATAATTTATAATAATATAATAATAATATATAAGATATATAATAATTTTTGTCTGTGATCATTCTTCCCAGTTCTCTCTACACTCTAACATAAAATTTGGATCTATGACTACACAAGTTTTTTACTGGATATTTTCAGCTTTTTTGCCATTTTCTTTACACTTAGCAAGAGGTGGCCGTGCATGAGTATCTTAGCTAATTAGCAGTTTATTAAATGCCTGGACCAGCCCATCAGGCTCTGACAACCACTCAACATTCAAAGCAACCTAAGTTCCTCCATTTTGATGGTCAATGTTAACATAAACAAATCTCAACCTCTGTGTAGTCTGCCTTTTTTTTTCCCAGCAGCGACATTTGTTGCCAGTCATTTCTTTGAAATCTCCTAAAGCTTTTTTCAGCTTTTTGAACCTAATGTAAGTTTTGGCATAAAAAGCATAGGTTATCTTTTTTAAATAGTACCAGTTTCATGTAACTAGGTGTACCATTGACAAGGCCTCTTTACTTCCAACCTGTAAAACTGGAAGGAGATTTTTTTCTTGAACTGGTTTCAAAAGAAAGTAGAAAATAACAAAAGAATTAACAAAACTGAAATATTATGTGCATTTATTTTAAAAGGGTCTTCTACTGGTGTATGAGTAGAATTCTATGCAGCGAGACTACATATTTATCTCAAAAGAACAGTAAGGTATGCATGGTAACAATTGGTGCACTAGCATAAAGCATGGCTAGCAGTGTTTCCCCCAGCATAGCAGCACTAATTACATTAGTAACTATCAGATGACTTGGATCTCATAGACTTTAACAACCCAGAAAGTACTGTGCACTATATCACAATAGTTTGCATGCTTAAAGATATGAAAATCAAAGTGACTTTAATGGTGACAGCGTAGAAAGACAATGCTCCCACACTAACCCTATGAAAAGCTTTGTGCTAGTCTGTTTTCTGTATCATGCTGGATTTACCCATCCAGATCCTAAAATGGACCACAGAACTATAGTCTCATACAGTTAGTGTACAACTGTCAGTCGCTTGCTTGATAGCCCAGCATACCAAAATTAGAAAGAGAGAAGGAGATGTAAAAACAGCTAATTTCAGTAGAAAAAGACTAGTACGAGTGTGAATCTAGAAATGAAAGAGGTTTCAAATAACTATGTGGCTAGAAAAGAGGTGCTGGTTGTCTAGCTATACTTATAAACATACTCATTAGTGCCATATTACACATTGTATATGTCAAAATAGGTGAAATAGCAGAGATAGCAGGCACCAGAGACGGGATCACAATATTCTGTCTGAACTAAGAAGGGATTTCCCACCACCAACAATTCCTGCTTAGGAAAAAAAAAAAGAGACCTAGATATGGAGATCTAGATATGAAATGTTCTTAAATGTGAATGTGAAATTCCCACACTTATTAGGTGGGGAAGAATTTGGGATTAACCAGGTTTTATTAAGTTTTTTGTTCTGAGTTTTTTATATACGTAGGTCCATGGGGATTCCTCTCAAAAGCACTTTGACTGCTACTATAAATTGAGGTAGCCTTACTGTTCACAATGTTGCCGTCAAATTTGAGGTCCTCAGAAATACTAAAGTAATTTTACAACAAAGATACCATCTACATATATATATATATATATATATATATATATATATATATATATATATATATATATATATATATATATATATATATATATATATATTGTGGTTTTTAATATTTCCTATATCAACTACATATGGATACATAGTGGAGCTAAAAAAAAATCTGCCTGTTATGTCATATAAAAAGAAAAAAAAAATCAATTTCCCTCTTTGTAACAAAAACATAAATATTAAGATTTTCAAAAAAAATGCTGTTGTAGATACACTCTGGTTTAAAAAATCAGTTTCTTCAGCAAATCTCGACCAGCAAATCTTGACCAGGATATCTTTGACAAAAAGCAATAGAAATTCTCTTATAGTTTCTTACGGAGATAGCAGGCACCAGAGACGGGATCACAATTCTTGTCATTGCAGTAGCAGGTTTGGTTGCAGTTGACTCCATATTGGCCAGGTTCGCAAGTCTTATTGCAGCTTGAGTAATGAGGAGATACAAAAGAAACTTGTTAAATATATAAATGGAATAAAGAGAGATAAAATGTTAGTGTGTAAAACCTGTTTTCTCTGGGTTTTTTTTAAACATTTGCATGATTAAGCTTTCCTATCCAATGAGATTCCTCAAACTGTAAAAAGTGATTGTAGACCAAACATTTCTGCTTAAATTTACAACAATGTTGCAAAGGTTAAATGAAAGTGATAAAAGCAATTAGCTATGAAGCTGCTGAGGGCATAAACATGCTTTTTTAACGCCATGTGCTGTCATATAACTTACTAGGTGCCATAAAAGCCTGGGTCACAAAGGCACTCTCCAGTAACAAAATGACATATGCCATTAAAACAGTGGCTGCAGTTGTTCTCGCAGTTCTCACCATACGTGCCGTTGGGGCAGCGTACCTCACACCTATTGTATATAGAAAAAAATACCATAAATAATGTTCTATGACTTATTACAGATTTCTTGTGGAAATTCTGCAAGTCTTACCTGTCCCCAATCCAGCCAGGATTACAGTGAGAACACTTCCCCTGAATAGGGTCACAGTGATGTCCATCCTTACAGGTGGGACACACTTCCTGGCAGTTTTCCCCAAAGAAGCCTTTGGAGCAGAGCTGATCACACCGTGTTCCGTTCCAACCTCTATCACAGGTGATGCACCGTCCCTCTGTCACCTTACAAGGCTGCTGACCTTTGCAGTGTCCACATCTGAGAACGTTCAATAAAAACAGATGCATTATTATTACTTATATTGTCAAAATCTTAATCCCATTGAGATTTTGACAATATTGCACAGATAATTTGATGATTTTTTCTTTGTCCAGCCCAGTTTCAAAACTTTAAATGTGTTCTTTTTCTGATCTGTATATGCACCACAAGTAAAATCCACGCGGTCACATTGAAGAGAACTTTCAAATCAGTTGTTATTAATGGAAGGTAATGTAGAGTTAGCTGTTGTAAACAACAGTAAGTATCTAAAAAAAAAAAAAAAACTGCACCAAATAAATTAAACTAAATATTATTTTCCACTTAGGTACTGTGGCTGTTTAATTAACTTCAATCCCTTTGTACTGTGCAACACACAAACAATTTTGTTTCAATATGCCTTTTAAAGAAAGAAAAATAATAATTTTTACTCATAAATAGTTTATTCTAGATGGAACCCTATTAGATATCACTAATTTTCAAAAATTTGCTTTCCAATTTCGGTTATTTCATACCCAACATTTTCATTAGTGGGTGACACACCACACCCCAGGGTGACATACAGAATTTGAAAATGTGTGCATTATATAAGGGTGGAGACTAAATTCTCTAACAGATAAAAACATAGGTGAGCATTTAGAGTTGAATATGTTAACTAGCACTTGATGGCAGTTAAAAAAAATCAACTCCATAATCTTTTTTTTTTTTGTAATAAAAAGACATTTCTACAGCAACTGCTACAGTATCGCAATGCACCTGGTAAATAAAAATAATGACCCTTCAATCTAATAAACATTTCTGTAATAACTTTGATGAACATAAACAATATTGAAGTGCATTACTTTTTTAAATTATCTGAAAAGATAAATGATATGCTTTGCTTTGTTATAATGTTTATACATTTTGAAATCCAGCTTCCATTTGTTCCTTTGCTATAGACTGATACAAGTCACATTTCATACTATAAAACCAAACTACATAATGATATGGATCAGAAAACGTTTTTACTTTTGTTTAAAATGGTTAATTTACTTTAGGCTCTACCCCCACCTGTTTCTGCAGTTTTGGCCATAAAATCCAGCAGGACATGGTTCCCTGCAAAACTTCCCACGGTATCCTGGTGTGCAGGTACATGAGCCGTCCGCCTTGTTGCACTTGCCGTGGACACACTGACATAATCTATCACACCGCAAACCCCACGTCCTGTCCTTGCACTGGCAGCGCCCTGTGTACTGCTCGCATGGCGAGCCATTGCAGTTGCATTGAATTGCACAGTTTCTTCCCATCCATCCAGGATGACACAGACATCGCCCATTATTGACATCGCAGACAGAGTTCACACTGCAATAGCAGTTGTTGTTGCAAAGTGAACCCCACACCCCAGGGTGACATGCACATTTTCCTGTGTCTTGGTCACAAGTACCCTTTTGGCATTGACAGGCATTTTCACATTTGGGTCCCCAACGATTGTGGTTGCAGGTGCACTTGCCAGTCAAGTCATCACACTGGCCATTAGGAAAACAGCTGCATTTGCCTTTACAGTCAGGGCCCCAGAACTTTGGAGGACACTCTGTTAAAACAAAAAGTAAGCAGGAAATGTAAAACCTGTTATGACAGAGTTATTGTTATGTTATTGACCTTAAAGAGATGTTCAGTAGTCAGAGTTAAATCCTAATACAATTAAAGTGACTGATTTACAGATAAGATATATTTACAAGTTTAAAATATAACAATATGTTCAATGAACATCAATTCTTAACACAGTCATTCGTCATGGAGTCACATAAAGCCAAAGAAGCAAATATCCTTCTCTTTGACTTGTTAACTTTTTACCTCCTTGACTGCTAACATTGACGCCGATACACATAACATCAATTTCAAATTTCTTGCATTGGTTAACATTCAATATTGGATACTTTGAATGGTCTTAGACCCACCCTCTTTATCAGATTTCCATTTATCCTACAAATACCTGTTACCAAGTTGCCAATACCAGGTTGCCAAGAAAGGCTTCTTTTTTGGTGCCAAATGGCGCAGTAAAACAAAATTTGAGGTGTATTTTTCTCTCAACAGCCTTCAGAGCTGAGGGCAGGTGACTTATACAAGCAAACTGGCACTGCCACTCAAAGCACATTAAAATTGCCACCCAAATGATTTGTGATCTGACAACAGGTCAACAAGTGAAACCCCATGAATATCTCTATGCAACAACACTACAACTTCTCAGGGATCACAAGGCATTTGCAAAAAATGATACACAGTTACTTACCTTTTCTTTATAACAATATTCACCAGAGAAGTGGGTACATTATTACTAATGTGTTCTCAACCTCTACAATCAAGCTAAAAAAAATTTTTTCTTCAAATTTTATTCCACTGAATACTTGATGCAGTGTAAATATGTCAAATTACATTAACTTCTGTAGGACCAGAAGGGATTTTTAGCGCATCTACAGTTGGTTACAATTTTATCTAATGTATTAGCATATCTAAATTTGTTTAACTGAACTAAACTTACTGAAACAGCATTCCATCAAGGTTTTTCTCTTGAACCTCCACTGTTATTTACTGAGAGGAAGAGGTGTGATATCATTGTAACAATGAAGTTCTTTGACATTAGGGCTGCAACTAACGATTTGATAATTTGAAAATCAATTAATCTGTAGATAACTGTTTTGATTAATCGATTAATAATCGGATAGCCAAAGTTGCCTTAAAGAAGATTTTTTATGAAATTAAACCAGATGACACTCAAACTTTTCCACTGGAATAGTTCTGGATAGAGCATATTGGCATAAGAAAAAGTTAGTTTTTTTTTGTCTTAAATGCTAAATATTTATACACTTCTTTTTTTAATTTAGATATAATTACTGCTCTAAGTAAGTTGCTCTGTCAGCTAAAGACATATTTAAGAGTCTCTATACTCCAGTTAACGATTTATCAATTAATACATTAGTTGATGATTATATCAACAATAGATTAATTAAATTAATGCAATTAATTGTTTCAGCCCTATTTGACACTAAATTCTTTTTGAGGGAGACATAACCAAGACAAGATGATGAATGCATATTCTAAGGAAGAGCCTTAGAGAATTTTTTTTTTTTTTATCTTGGTTCTCTTTATATCCTTGTCTTTGTTTTCTTTTTATTATTTCAGACTTTTTTTTCTTTCCTCACTTTTTTATCATAAATTGCTTTTTTTATATCAAATTATCGTGATCCCACTTATCTTTTGGTTAAGCCAGAGTTGGTTTTGGTAAGATGCCACTTTTTACACTGTTTAGTCCATTAACTAAAAAGAAATAGGATGAGAACAAGTTGGGTTTCTCCATCTTCATGGAGCACAGTGTAAAACATTACTCTCTCTCGTCGCAACAGAGCACTGCCATTTCTCTGGCCGAAAGTAGTCTTGAAAGTACTACTGTATTATATAAGTTCATGTATTTGGCGATAGTTCCATTTGTACAAAAATTAAGACAGTTCCACAGACAACTAAAAAGAGATACCCAAAACTCTAAGTAAGGCGACCTTGTTTGAAAACTACAGCTTGCAAGTCTATTAGATTGCTGACTGTAGAATATCATCAGTGTTAACTGTGGTACTTTATAAAGACGAGAACAGCAAAAATTGGTACAGTGTTTAGCTAAGAGATGTTAACTGGAACCCTTAGACTTAAACTTTAGATCTCGTTGTATAACTGTTTAATTCTTAGTATGGAATGAAATAAAAAATGTGGTATTTAAACCTGAGATTATATTAGAAGAACCCATGCCCTTTTAATGCTTCCATTTTTATTGCAAGGCAATAGCTGATTTTCCTATGAAAATAGCTCATAAAGTATTTTTTAGCAACCCTAACAAACAACCAAAAAAAAAAAAAAAAAAAGACAGACAAGCTTTGCCGGGAGAGGCAAAAAAATAAGCTCTTACTTGCATCACAGCTGGGTCCAAAATATCCATGTCGGCAGCGACATTCATTTGGCCTGACACACACCTCATTTTCATTGCAGGTGAAGTTCCCTTCACAGATGGCTGGAATAACAAAGAATAGCCCAGATTATTACAGTGGCTCACACAACAAGCTGTATGACATGTTTTGATTAATGCAAGACCTATTCCAACGTACGTGTCAGGCATTCATCTCCTAGCTGCCCCCATCCACTGCAGCACACCAATCCTGATGACCTGGAAAGGAAACAAACTAAAAGCTATGAGACACAGAGCGAGAGGGCAAAGATAGAGCGCTGATCTGAAATGAAGTAAAACAAACACATCAAAGAGGCTGCATCCACACCCAGCTCACGTCTCTTTGAACTCACAGTTCTTACAGATTCTCTGCCAAAGTATGCAGGGACACAGATGTGTGGCACACTTGTTGCATAATTAGCCCAATGTGCTTATATTAAGACTTTACAAGATAAAAACACCCCAAAATCTCTAACATCTACATTTAAGCAGTTTATCCTGTTATCTCACTCTTCCTAGCCTGTGAGAATGATGCATGAATATTCAAAGGAAACATTCTGCAGACAGTTTTAAGCTTGACAGGAAAGGACGGATGTGTCTCCTCTTCCTCCCTCTCCTGCGACCTCTGTGGGCCCCTGCAACACGTCAGCTTCCTCTAATGCTTTGAAGATGGTGGTTCCTCTTAGACAGAATGAAGGGAGCAGGACTGTACTTCATCCTGTCCAAACAGGCACGTGCCTAAGACAATAGATCTATCATCTTTTAATAGGGGTAAGATAGCATTATTTATTAATATTACTTCAGCATGTAACATCCCCTGGGCACCTTAATAGTACACAATTTGATCCATGTAACATTTAATGGGGGCTATCTTAATTTGTTTTTTGGAATAGATTTAGCAAAGAGTTTAAGTCTGTAATGAAATATGGATATTTAAAATGTGTTTAATACAGCTGATGTGTTACCTGCATGTCAACGGTAAGAATATCCTATTCAAACACCTTCTTAAGGTGTTCTATTGAAATGAGATCTGGTGGCTGAGGAGGCCATTGGAGCCTTGTTCAGTGGAAGATATATACACTATGCTCATAAAAACAAGGAACCAAGTCGAACAATAGTAAGGCTGGCCATAGCATTTAATTTACCATTATTTACCATAGCACCTCAGTGTTGTAGCCGAATTCGAAACTCTTCCCACCAGCATAACGTTTCCAATCGGTTACCGTCCAATTTTGGTGAGGCTATGCAAACTATGCTGAAACTGTATAAAACATGATGTCTACTCTTTTCCCTGACGTCACCAAGGCCTTTTGTTCCAAACAGCTGGCACTTACTGCATACTTTCTCATTTTGCAAACAGTTTGTGATGGAAAACATCCCAGCAGATCTGCAATTTATAAAACACTACTATCCAGACAAATGGGCACTGTGCCACCCTTAAATCTGCTTTCTCCACATATATATATATATATATATATATATATATATATATATATATATATATATATATATATATATATATATATATATATATATATATATATACTGTATATATATATAAAATTTAGCACCATGGAGTTTTCATTTATCAAATATTAGTTTTTTTCTGGTCCAACCTGAATGAAAGGTACCTGCCTTCACTGTGACGCTGCCTCTCCTTGTTGGGAGGGCAGGGTCCACCTATTTCATTCCATCATCACAGAGCCACTGCAACCTGGTATCGCCGCACTTTGACTGGTAAGACTCTTTCATTGAAAGCTCGAGGGAAGTCTCATGAATTTCAAAAAGTTTAATTTCAGCAATTTAAGCACCAGTTAAAAGATCATAAGTTGCTGTCACAGTGCAAATTAGGTGCTAAAAGCGTCAAACCATGCCTGGCCTCACATCATTATGTTGTTTACTGGACAGGCCAGGCACAGTTAAGGTAATTACTACTGGTCTTACGTAAAACATGGAGAGCAACTGTGTAATCCAGGAAAGGGAGGACCTGCTGCTCAGAGAGCAGATTTTCATGTGGATTACTAAAACATGCATGGATCAAGAAAAATACTCATTTATGAATTTGATGAAGGAAAAAGATTAAGTTAATAAGTTAAGCGTTAAAAGTTACATAAAAGCTTTTGCATGCGATCCATAATATATGGATTGCTCTTAAAGTGCATTTCTAAAGTGTGATGTACTTGTTTGTTATTTGTATTTCCTAATAAAGTGGCGATCCACTTGCCTGCTAATATTATAAACACATTGTATACAAATTGTATACAATCACATCGAAAGTGCTTTAAAATTATGCTGGTGAGGATTCACAATCATCCAGGTCATAGTCATTCCAAAAAAGTTTAAAAACAAACCACTGGACTTTGTTTCCAAGTTTAAGATGTTTCGCTTCCCATCTAGGAAGCTTTTTAAATTCAAATGTCAGAAATAGTTTTATTGGCTTTACACGGTAGCCCAACAAAACCTTGTTTTTGCTTAGGGCACGTGCAAGTTGAAACAGATAAACGGGTCCACTCCTTTGGAATGGTGGTCGTTTGGCTTCTTTTGTTAGCCTGCGATGCCCCATACCTGTCTATGTCTCTAAAAGGGGGTCGTTAGAGGGAATTGTTGGCCTGGCTGACCTTTAAAATGATGCCCTTCATTTAAAAGGTCTACAAGCACAAGGTTTGGTGTTTGATAGATTTTTTTTATCTGATTATTACATTACAAACATTTAGATCATGGACTTCTATAGTTTATGATACTGACACATGTTAAGTCTCACAGCTTTTTGGTTCCCAAGAATTTCAACCACCCTAACCTTGGTTATGGTGTAATGTGTTTTGAAAGGCTGCATTTACAGCCCAGTTAGAATATAATTGCCCTTCCAGCTAAATTAAGCAGCTGATTTTGTAATGGGAGAGCATGCTGGAAATGCTGATGAGTGGAAATACATTCTTCATCACTTCCTCCTATTCACATGATTCAGTGGAGAACTTTTAAAAGTGTTTTAACCTAACCCAGGAAAAAGGAACCCGTGGTACCATTCCCCTACTCCTTGTTGCACACTCAATTTGAGATTATTTCTATGTATAAACTGAGGAGAAAAAGAAAAGCTATGAGAAGTAGCAACCTTTTCTTAATCTATTCATCTAAAATACAATAATTTTGTTGTTTTCCTTTATAGAAGTGGCCGTAATATACCAAAACAGCGTAGATCAGAAATTAGGAGATTTTGTGCACTTTTTTGCCCTTTCTCCAATAAACTAAATTTCGGGTTCCAAATAAGTAAATACATCACTGAATTACATTATTTCTCCATCTGGCAAGCCATTAAAAAACATTGTGGTGTGCCTGGCCAGAAGGGTGAAACTTTGAACAGAGAAAGTTGTTTATTTTTTAAATAGGATGTAAACACAACTTTAGCATAAGGAAAAAACAACTCTTGATTATTTAGATTCTAACGGCTTTAGAAATAGCTGTGAGGGCCATTTCAGATCAGTCATTTTCAGCATGGTTAAAGTGAGTCCTATTGATTGCACATAAAGAATCCCCTTAATCAACAACAGAGGTCCCTGTTTAAACAGAATAAACACAACTTTGAATACCCTAATTCAAATCTGTCTTTTAAGGTAGGATGTGAAGACGCATAACATTATGCTAAGCTTTTTCTAACCATTCTGTAAAAGTAAAAAACAAAACAATCCACTGGACTTGGTTTCCAAGATTTGAAGACGTTTCGCTTCCCCTCCAGGAAGCTTTTTCTAACCAGCAGCCTTTTTTATAATTCATAGACATCATGTTTGGAGGGTTCAGTCAGTAATTGTGGAATTGGATGCTTTTCCATTTTCACAAGAGGCCAGATATGCACTAAAAGAGATCTGTACAGGGTAGATTATTAACATAAAGCTTTGGCAAAGGTTTTCTAAATGTCAAAGTTGACTTTTAAAATTAAACAAGTGTTACAAAAAGGTCTTAGGAAGGCCATCGGTGTACATTTGGAGCGCCACCTACAGATAAAAACACTTCTCCAGATGTTGGCACATCTGCCTTCTGCAACAGCCTACATCCCTCCTGCTGCTGCTTCAGTGGACAGAATTTTCCATTTTAAACCTACATAACTTGACAATTATACTACAATTTAAAAGCATTTAAAAGTTTCATGATTTTACACATTTTACTTGCAGACAAGTTGATATAAAGTTTTTAATGTCAGAGAAACCATTACTTTTACCCAAAATAAGAGAACTTATTTTTTCAAATTTTATCTAAAATTTTTAATGTCTGTTTTTGTTTAAAGCGGGCTGGGTTTGCACAAAAACTGTGAAACTGCTTAATAAAATCACACAGGCATTTTTTTTTTTTTTTTACCCCCCGCATGAACTCTTACCCGGGTGCTCTGCACACATTCCTGCCTTTAGCGTTCAGTTCCTGGCTGGAAACGGAGAAAAAGAAAAGACAAAGCAGCGAAACGGCATTAAAAGAGTTCTTCATTTCCATTGTAAGAGCAGCAGCATCCTAAAAGTAGACGCCACTCTCACTCCACATTTCCTTTTCTCCAGCTCTGTTTAACAGCGAGGTTTCACTTCTCGTTTTTCCACTACTGTTTCTTTCATAATCCAGACGTGGCCAGGGAATAAAAAAAAAATACTTTAAATCCACGGTCTTTAGGTGTCCCAGCACCTAAGCTGCAGCAAAACCCAGCAATCCCGACGGTAGCTTCAATTATATAGACAAAGGACACAAAATCCAAACTTTTGGTTTTCTAGATGCTTCTTGTGTGTGAAGTTTAATCCATTATGATCCTGCAAAATGCTTAACACCCTATGAAAAGAAAACAAAAATCCCCTTAACTTGTCTACAAGGTTGTTTAGATTTTTGTCAAACTTTTTCTTCTTTTAACTAAGCTCAACAGATGAGTTCCAATATCCTCCCTGGGAAACGCGCCCGTGCGTAACTTTGGTCCTTCTCTTGCGCTCTCTGGAGTGGCAGAAGGGAAATTCCTGATTTGTTACTCTATCTTTGGCTTAAGCGCCATGCCTCCGCCACTAAAATTTACATAGGCCTGCATGCAACAGGACGCAACGTGGTCCGCTCCAATGGCACACGCTAAAGCACAAAGGCTAAATGATTTACGCATAAACACTAGAATATCAGATATCAATATATTTACTACTGTTACAGTTCTAAATATGTGCGTTAGGCCTAAATGTTTCACAAATACTCTTCGTTCCAATCTTTGGTATAATAAACAATCTTAATAACTTCTTAATCATATATCTAGTGACCTGTAAAAACATAGAACATGTCTCAATAGATCATAATTTATAGAAAAGGGTCTTTGTTTGTAGCTGAAAGACAGAAGCGTTTCAAATGGTACAATAGCCCCCCCCTCAGGAATAAATGAAACTGACACATGGCACCTCCAGTAACCTTTACTGTGAATAAAAATGTTTCTCAGTGAAATGAAAATGTAGTTATGTTGTTACATCTGCATATTATGATATAATGTATTAGATTTAAAAGAAAACTTTGAGGACCTTTTTTTTCCATGAAAAAGGCAAGTCGTTCATTTTCTGTATACCTGTTTAGAAATGGGAATCTAAAAAGTGTGGCAGGGATATGTCTCTATTAGTTTCTAACACAACTAAAGATTACTGCTTCTGCTTTCAATGGCACAAACTTGCAGTCAGTAAATAAACTGTTAACATTTAACTGTAGTTGAAATTTCAGAGTTAGCAAAACTATTATCTTCAACTTGTATGTTAGATCCAGTTCCAATCAAGATATTTTAAGAAGTATTCCATCTGATTTCTAGCTCCATTTTATTTAATCTATCCCTGTTAGAGGGATATGTACCTCAGGCTTTTAAGGTTGTTGTAATTAAACCTTTGCTTAAGACTTCGTAAATTATAGACCAATGTCTAATTTTACTTTCTTATCTGAAATTCTTCAGAAAATAGTTGCCAAACAAGTGTGTGACAGCTTACACCATAATGAACTTTCTGAAGAGTTTCAGTTCAGCTTTAGAGCTCATCATAGCACTGAAACCGCTCTGGTGAAAGTCGCTAATTAGACCTCAGTGCTGAATTTGATACAACTGATCATAACATTCTTTCAGAGAGACTTGAATGAGTGTTGGCCCAGTGCCACTTTTGCTCTGAGAAGGTTGCAAGTCACTCTTTCGATCCCCATTGCCTCCACTCTGGGTTCCTGAGCAAAATCCTTAACCCCACACTGCTCCTTGGGCACCACAGTGACAGCCCACTGCTCTCCAAGGGTAGCCTGATAAACCAGACTTAAGGTGAGACAAAATTTGTAATTTAGTCTAGCCCCGATGAATGAGACATCGGAAGATTGTTGATGAGAACAACCTGTTGTCTTTCAAACCATGTCTGTGCCTATTAGCCAATGCTTTGATCAATGGGCGCAACTGACTGTGACATAGTAAGCGTGACAGAAAGCTGGTGGGGTTGTGTAAACAAACAGCATTTGAAACAGCTCTCGTTAAAATGGCTAAATACATCCTTCTTAAAAATGAATGAGCATAGAGCCTCTTCCTGCTCACGTTTCAATGAAAACCCCAAGTCTAATCCTTCAAAAACTGATTCCAAAGCTGAGTCCAACGACAACTGTTCATTAGTTGTTGCCATCTTCCTTGTTGTGCTTTCTCCAGCGTCGTGCAGCTTTGTCGTCATGCCCTCAAAACCCCACCCGCTTTGCATCCAAAAATTAAAAACAAATCCCTGCGTTGTGATTGGCCAGTTAGTTCTTGGGCCTGGGGCATTGATCGAGGCTAGATCACTTGCAGGCAAAAATTATTTTGGCCGCTGGCGGGTGGCGCTAGTTTACTAGGCTACCCCAAGGTGATAGGTCAAATGCAGTGAATGAATTTTCCCTAGTGTGGGACAATAAAAGGGATTTATAGTATTTTGTAGGAATTAAGGTAACAACACTAGGCTGATTAAAAGTCTATTTATCTGACTGATATTAGTTTATTCACTTTAATGATATTTGTTCATGCACCAGGGTTACCTGTGGAGTACCACAGGGATCAGTGCTAGGACCAATTCTCGTTACTATATATATGCTCCGAATTGAACAATCAGACAGCATTGGATTAATTTCCATAGTTATGCTTTTAATACTCAGCTATATCTGTCTATAAATCCAGATGAAGCTAACCCATTACATAGACTACAACAGAGGTCACGGAGTAGCGGACCGCAATCTGGATCTGGACCTGGACCCCCCAGCTGGCTAATCCGGACCCAACGTGATTTAAAACATTTATAAATGACAGCATTGCTAACGTTATGCTCTCTCTGCTTTTTCTTATCATATTAGCTTCAGCTGGTCTGTTCCTGTTTGGCTGTGACACCATCCTGGAGAGAATTAACAGCTGTGCTGCTGCCATTGACACATTTGTTGATAGATGTTGGAGCTTGGCCGGTTTTTCAGTGTAGTTCTGTTTCTCTTACTGTGACTAACTCTATGTGCTCTCTTTCATCCTCTGCTGTGGGAGCTGGCTTGGAGCTTGTCTGCTTGGCTGTTTGTTTCCTGGACGGGGCCGCCTGTGGAGCTGGTTGACAGTTACCCTTTGTATGTTTCCGTCTTTCTACATGTCTGCTTCTGTCTCCTTAAACCGCAGCCGGCCTTGGGAGATCACTTCTCTTACTGAGCATGGTTTTGCTGGCTGGTTCTGGTTCTTTTAAATGTCACCCTTTATTTTGCCAAAACTCCTAAAGACAAACATTAGGTCCTATCAAAATCCCCACATTTTTCCATGTTTGTTGGCTTGAGGTAACCTGCAATGATCCATTTTTTTTCCTAAACAATGGTTTCTTTTTGCCAATGTTCAAGAGAACACCACCAACGGTTATGAATACTTAAGTTGTGGATCTTTTCAGATTCTGCACCATTAGAAAGGTCCATTAACTGTTTCTTTTATAAACATAGTGTTCAGATAGAAAAAAACAAAAAAACAAAGCAACATTTGAAGCCTTCAATAAATAATTGGATTAATACTGAGATTAATTACACATAGATGCTCTCCATTAACTGTCTTATTCCAAGAACCCCAAAGTTTACCTAGAAACAACAGATGAAACTTTAAGGATTTTTTGAAAATAATCAGAGATCAACAGGAAGCAACCGGCCACAGATTCAGAAACCTCAGGAGGGAAATAAAAAGGTTAGCCACTGGAGAAGAAATTAAAAATAAAACGATCTTAGGATCAGTAGAGCAGGGATACTGAAATTCAGCTTCTGCGGGTTTGACAGGCAATGAATGGGACTTCTTTGTTAAACAAGGATGTTTTATACAACTTTAAGGGTATTAATAGACTGATAAGAAAGTTTTTTGTACAGATATGTAGTCTTGATAAAATGTATTATACCTGGATATTGTTCTTTCAAACTGAAAAAAACCCTTAATGAACAACACTGTCTATTAAACTTCACAGTATATTTTCAAGATGGTATATTTTTAAAATATTCAAACTAACTGATCCATCCATCCATCCATCCATCCATCCATCCATCCATCCATCCATCCATCCATCCATCCATCCATCCATCCATCCATCCATCCATCCATC